CCCCCGCCCACCTCCTCCTCCTCTTCATCGTCTCGTGTCTGTTGGCTGATGAGTTTGTCTCTTTGTCTGGATTCAGTCAGACACTGCGTCACCTCCTGCATACAGACGAACAGACACTCGCAGATAACATCACCGTGGCAAAGACTGATGGAGGGAGGGTGGAGAGACAGATGTACAGACGCAGACTAACAGCAGGGGGGGAGGGGGCATCTCCCACACATCAATCACGAGGCTGTGTGAAGCTCGCTTGTCGTGCTGGTTCATAGTTCAGCACTTAGACACAGTCCGGCAGTGCAAACAAACGAAGTTCTATGGGAAATGTGCCCAAACTGGGTTCACACGTCAGCTTTATTTGGTCAGTACCGAAGTAGCAGAATGACAGACCTCCTCGAGACACACGATTGGGCAATTAATCGTAAGGTTGAATTTGGCATCTCAAATTCATCAAAACATTGTGATCAAAGATAAGTTATTAGTGTGCCGAATGGCGCCGTGCGTAAATTCGACAGATCTAGTAGGTTGGATCGGATCGTCAGATATTTTGCATTTGATGTCAAATCAGTGACCCGTTGTCATGTCAGAAATTTTCCTGCCCGATCAATGACAAGTCAAGTCAAATTTATCTATAGAGCGCTTCATCACCAAAGTGTCTCAAAGGGCTTCACAAACTCGCAGTTGACAAATATGAACAACATCCCCTGATCTTAATCCCGTAGGAGGGCAAACTACAAAAAAAAAACCCAAAAAAAAAAACCGCACATCTGGGGAAAAATAAGAAAGCTTGAGAAATGGGCGCAGATGGCGGAATCTCCCTTTCAGGATGACCAGGCCGCAATAAATGCTGAGTAAGCAACATTTAACACATAATACGTTGCTTTATAATCATAACTAGACTAGTGTGAGAGTCCATTTCATAAGATGAAGCGCTGCAGGCGCCATTGACGTCCTTGATTGGAATCACAAAGCAAGACATTACAGCAAAACACAATCTCGTTCACTCCAGGGACATTCTGTGCTGCCATTGTTAATAACCTAAGGTTCTCTGCATTTACAGTCAGAATTGAATTTTTCCCCATTATTTGATTGATTATTTGGGGGGGGGGGGTCAGGATTCGGGCTGTAATTGCACCTCTCAAGTAACCGGACAGAGATGAATCCGTCATTAATTTTCACACTGTCAATGCCACAGCAGCATCTTCCGGGAGGGGAAGTTGAGCAGTTATGCGGGGTCAAGTGCGCTAAAAAGATGCGAAGGAGTCGATAAAAGGAGTCACATAGGGGCAAAGCTACGTCCTCCCTATCAGAGCTGGCCGTGTAGCGATGGAACTGTTGGGAGCTGCACACGAGGGTGGCTGGGCTGTTCGGTTGTGTGGGTGGTAGTGAGAGAGAAGAAAAGAAGGCTGGCGAGCTTCAGGAAAAAAAAAAAAGAATGCAGCCTACTTTCCCCTCCGGGACTGCAGTACGTATTAGGCTGTATGTGCGTGTGAAACAGTAATAGGGGGGTTGGGATGCAAATGAAGTGAGCACGTATGTCAGCGAGCTCGGCTGGCATCACATTCAGCGCAGGACGGCTGATGGGAAAGCGGCCTGCTCTGCATTGGTGATGATTAACTACTGGACGGGGTAAAGAGATTTTTGGTGGTTGCTAGTTTCCATTTGAACTCCCCCAAACCCAAAGCACTGATAATCAAATCAAATGGCAACGCGTTCTCAGGGGAGAGGCTTGCACGCGCTATGTTTCAGGGGACCGCTGGTGTGTGCAGGCGTCTTGAAAAATTAATGACTTCTTGTGGTAAATAAGGCATTCAAGTCAGATTTCACGTTGCTATGGCGATAAAGAGCCTTGGATCATTATTTTGTAACTTAAAACATTTTTGCTATGTTGCGCTCCACTTAAATATTATGGGCCATTCCCATTAGTAATTAGTTTGTTCCTAAGCAGTGCAATAATGATGATTCTTCTTGTAGTCTTATAAATCTAAATATGATACACAGTAAATATTTTTTTTAAAGTCTCCACACTCCTTGTTCAGTTGCCAAGTTTTTGTGACATACAAATATGAGACCAAGATAAATGATTTCAAAAACTTTTCCACCATTCATGTGATCTGTAACCTCTCAAACTCAATTGAAGAATATTTTTTTTCCTCATTGTTCAAAACCGTATCTCCAAAGCACATATGGGGAGAAATGTGTCATGGTCCAATGAAACAAAGGTTGTAGTTTTTGGTAATAATTATTCCAAAAGGTTTGATTGATTGTCACAAAAAAAAAAAAAAGTGAACACAAGTTTGAATTTGATAGTTTAAGACCGAAAGCAGCCAGATTCCCAGCTGTGAGGGTATGCACACTTATGCAAACATTATTTCAATTGTTTTATCTCTCCCTTAAAAAAAAAAAAATCAATTGAGCTGAGTTATAGGTGATATTAATGGTGGAAAAGTTGTGATATTATTTGTCTTTTCATGTCACAAAAACCTGGCTGTTTAACAGGGGTGTGTTGACTTTTTATATCCACTATCTAAATGTAATCCTATATTGCACGCATTTTTACGTGTTCTTGAGTATACAGCAATTAAATTAAACAAAGAAATTATACAAAATGCTTTACATAATAATGATTTCTACTATTAAAATAAAAAACGAAAGTAAAAGTTAAATTGTGACCTAGTGGTGACCATGTTTGCCTCACAGTTGAGAGGTACCAGGTTCAAATCTTGGTTCGGGACTTCATGTGTGCAGTTGGGATGCGCGTTATGAAAATGGATTTAATGAAACGTAAGAATTTTGGACCGTCATACTTCATGAAACGACTTGAGTTTAATCGACGGTGTCGCGGCTGTCAAAGTGTGTGTTGCCGGTATTGCATTTGAATGTTTTCATGAGCTGATCCCACTGTTAGTAATTACAACAACTGTCCCTCCGGCTTTTTTTAGCTGACGCGACTTTTTTTGTCTCATTTATTTCGCAGCTGATTTATTGTCCGACGGGCAGAATGATTTTTGTACCATCGTTATAAATAAGCCAGTGAGTTTAATGCCCGGCATTGCGGCAAAAATCCTCCCGTAATAAACTCTATTATGATTTATATTTTGACATGAGGCGGGTTGTCAAGCTCAATTTTCAACACAGGCCACTTGGTTGTGACGGTTTCCGTCCGAGGGCTGTTTTGACTTGGATAAGGAAACCCTCTCTAGCAGCCGCACAAGCACTCCGTGTAGGACGTACCTGAGAATCATCTTCCCCTACTTCTCTCCAGGGCCATTCCACACTTCCGGCATCACGGGATTTCAGCACACGATTAACATGGACGGCAGGGACGAGTTCACCGAAGACAGTGAGTGCTGCAGCAACAACTCGCAGGAAGTCGTCGGACACGAGAGCGCCACAGGTAGAGGACGACGGAGGGACGCGGCAGGGATGGGCAACGTTCCTCGCACTGAGGCGGTGTTAGTGAGAGTAAGCCCTGCCCTGTGCTCTGTTGTCCCGTCTGTATTGATAGGGCTGTGTTTGCCTCCATAGAAGACAGCGAAAGCGACCCGGACTCCTCGTCCAACGCCTCGGCCGACGACCACATGACTGCCAAGAGGGCGCCGTGCCGCCTGCACGGAGCAGGAGTCAAAGAGGTGAGAGCGATGGTAGATAGAAAGAAGCTCCACAGAGTTTGATTTGGAACTATTCATAAAGTGATGTGTATCTCAGCACATGAGGTTCACATTCACAATATAATACGTTGACTTACTTAGGCAATGGCGCGATATCCTGCTTCTCTTTTTCAGAGGGTGACTCCATTAGGGGGTGCAATTTTTTCACACAAATGGCCTGGCTTGACCTGGCATGTAATTACACAATAGTAAACAATTTTTTGGGTATTATTTTGGGGTGGGTTGCCGCCCTGCAAGCAAAGCCGCCCGGTGTGGCCACATATAATGCACATGCCATAAACAGCCGCTGATTGACTGTGTTCGCCATAAATCTCTGTTGCTTCAACTAAGTACAAATAAGGCAGTGGACCCCCAAATGTTTGCAGGTTCAGCATTTGCAAATTCACCTATTTCCTGAAATTTTGGGGGAAGAACCTATACCTTGCTTCTACAGTTTTAATTTTTTTTTACCCAATCCCCTACTTAGTCACTTTATTTTTAAGATTTCCCAAACTTTTTTCCCCCATGTCATTTAGACGGAGCTTAAATCAGTTGAGGATTTTTGCAGTTCGCAATCATGTCCGCGCACGCACGCACGCACGCACGCACGCACGCACGCACGCACGCACGCACACACACACACACACACACACACACACACACACACACACACACACACACACACAAAGGGATTTTCAAGAGCACCTTTTTTAAGTCTGATACGAGTATGAGTATTCTCGCGTCCTCACCGAGTGAACAATTGCGTGTTTACGTTCGAGTAAACACGCAATTGTTCGAGTAAAATGTGTGTTTACGTCTGAGTTCGTTAGGGTTCGTTCAAGGTTGCAAATGTTCGCCAAACATTCAGTTTTTGTGATTTTTCTTGTTGCAAGGAACTTTTGAGGAAATTTTGGACGTGTTCAAAATTCCCTTGCGACAGGAAAAGTACAGGCGAATGTCTGGTGTCCATTTGAGGATCCTTGAACGAACATTCGCTGTCTTTGAAAACACTCGCAATTCTTTTGCCGGTCTTTAGGATTGGGGCATGGAAAACGCAATTCACAACAAGTTTCCAAGGGTGTCTACTCGTAATGGCAACAACTTCCAGGTGTCATCTTGGTCTCTTGATGTCAAAAATATGGACAGCATGATGAAGAGACTGTTTACAACCAACACAATGCAAGTCTGAGGAAGTTGTGCCGTTCATTTTGTCCCACAGCAGATGGTGATATTGGCCAAAATGGCGGCCACCTGAGATGGATGAAAATGGATGAATTCCTCTGTTTAATTGACACACAATTCATCAGAATACAGTCTTTAGTGTGGGCGCATGCATCATATTCATCCAAAACATTATTTGCCTTTAGCACCCCTTTAAAGACGAGTGAAAGGCAGAAGCAGCTCTTATTTCCGTGCGCCTTCTGTTCACAAATGTTCTCCATTTCAGCATCGGAGTGAGTCATGTCTAAGACACCACACAGCAGTGTGTCACTACGGCTGAGTCACACTGGCTCACTTGCACATTCAATATGTCATTAAAATGCACTGGCCGAAAGGCTTCGGGAAGTGGGCGAAGCGGGCAGTGAGCCACCTGCGGCTCCAGAAAATTTGACCCATTTTTTTTTTTTTTAGGGGGTCTAAATATGTTTCTGGAATGTGTGTGGAATATGTATTTGAAGGGCGCTTGGTTTTCCGCAGGAGCACGAAGAAGGCTCAGACCACAGCACCAACTTTGTATGTCCACTGTGCACGCTGGACTTCAGCAGCCCAGAGAAGCTCATCTCCCATGTCTACCAGGTGAACCAAACACAGTCTCAAAGATCATGTGAAATGCACAGTAGAGGAAGCTTCACCATCAAATGGAAACAGATACTGACTGATATATATATATATATATATATACACACACACACACACACACACACACACACACACACACACACATTGTCTGTTATTTTATTTTATTTTTTTAGCTCTATAGTCTGCTAGCATATTGCTAACGCTAATTAGCACCTATGTTGGAGTGTATTAACCCTTTAGGCAATGGATTGAAAACAAATGACTGTTTTAGCTGATTTTTTTTTCAGTGTGTTAGCGTATTGCTAACACTAATTAGCATCTATGTTGCAGTGCGTTAAACCTTTAGGCAATGGATTGAAAACCAACCGTACAGCAACAACATGTAGACTGACAATATTAATCAGTTTTATTTTGTCAATTAACTGACCCCCCCCCCCCCCCCACCCACCGCGCGCTGCGATATGATTGGCTGCTGCATCTCGGCAGAACTACCTAACTCAGCTTTTTGAACGTGATCATATTGAGGTGAATCCTGTATGTCAACAACCACAGCTGAAAACTTTTGTCTGTTAAACAGCACACGAGCATGATGAGCAGCACCAAGAGCTACGTGTGTCCCGTCTGTGGGCGAGCGCTGAGTTCACCCGGCTCGCTCGGACGCCATCTTCTCATCCACTCAGAGGACCGTCTCTCAAACTGTGCCGTGTGCGGCGCACACTTCACCGACACGGACAACTTCAACAGGTACTGCCCCTCATTTGGTAGGATTGGAATTTGGTTAAATTCACCAGTGGTAGTTTCACTGGTGTGTTGTTTTGTTGAATGCTTGGATTATTGTTTGTTAGCAGCGTTCGCTTCTGATTCGCAACACTTGATTGATGGCCTGTGATGTTGTTGACACTGGAGTTTAGTCGTGTTTTTATTTACTTCAATTGTTAGCCGTATTGTTAATTTATTTGACTTTTATTTAAATGAACAGGTTCTTGTTTTTTATTGTTTGTTTTTGTTCGATTCTTGGAAATCCTTATTTTTATGTGTTGTTGATTTACTTTCCTTTTATTGTATTTGATTAGAATTCCTCTTGTTCCAGCATTATTAACTATTTCAGTACTTTTCATTTGTAGCTATATATATTTTGTTCATAACTTATCTTTGTGTGTGTGCGTGTGTGTGTGTGTGTGTGTGTGTGTGTGTGTGTGTGTGTGTGTTTCGCTTGGGAGTCTCAACTTGAGCTGAGAGGTTGATTTGAGTAGAAGGGAAGTCAAGGTGTGGCTTTAAATTGTGGGGGGGGGAAAAAAGTCTCCTTTAAGCTTGGCTGTCTGCTGTTTTTTGCTCCAGGGAGAAGCTCAAGGATGTCCTGGACATGACCAGGCTGGAGGTCCCCGGCGGAAGTGACACTTGTCCCCTGACCCACTCGCTTTCCAACACCCCCATGGCCAGTCCAGGACCGGGGCCTCATTCCTGTCATGGGCCTGGCCCCAGTCCCAGTTCCTGCCAGGGCCCTCAGTCATGTCAAGTCCACGACCCCAACAGCAGCCTATGTCAAGCCAATCAAGCATGCCACATGTCCGGACCATGTCAAGGACCCGCGAGCCAAGGAGCCTCGTTTCCGTCGCTACCCGACAGTTTGCTATCCGAAGGGCCGTCGCTGGCGTCCATCCCTGATGCCCTCACTTCCTCCTCCTCAGGTCTTCCTCCTATCCCAGACATCCTGAGTCCGATGCCCGTGTATCCGGCCGGGGTGCTCCTGGTGTGCAACAGTTGCGTGGCCTACCAGCAGCTGGTGGAGTCCCAGTCCCCCGTGCGCAAATGGGCCTTGCGCCGCAAAAACGAGCCCCTGGAGTCCCGCCTGCACCGGCTGGAGCGTGAGCGCACGGCCAAGAAGAACAAGCGCGCTTGCGAAACAGATGAGGAGCGTGAGCTGCGGCGCCTGCGAGATCGCGAGGCCAAGCGCATGCAGAGGATGCAGGAGTCGGAGGAGCAGCGGGCGCGCCGCCTGCAGCGGGACCGTGACGCCATGCGCCTCAAGAGGGCCAACGAGACGCCTGAGAAACGGCAGGCCAGGCTCGTCCGCGAGCGCGAGGCTAAGAGGATCAAGCGCCGGCTGGAAAAGATCGACCCCGCCCTCAGGACGCAGATCGAGCACGATCCGGCCGCCATGGCCGCACTCACGGCCGACATGAATCTTTTTCAGTTCCCCTGCCCCGTACCCGTCCCTTCCATGGGCAATGGACTCTTCATGAAGCTGCCCTAAGAGGACCGCAGATGTGACAAACACTTTAAATCAGGGGTGTCCAAACTTCCAAGTGCCACGTACAGAAAAATAAAAAACTTTTAATATTGTCCCCCATAAAATCCCTTTAAAAGTGAAACTTTGATGTCTTCTAAAGGTGACACAACAGAAGGCTGCTGTGAGCAATCCTTTCAAATTTGAATGATTCAAAAAAACTCACTAAGTCTATCAAATTAGTCTTCAAAATTGTGAAAAACTAAGCGGTTGTCCACATCTATACATGTTTTGCTGCAATACCTGAAATACAAACTAAAATATCCGAAATGACCACAGTTTGGACACCTCTGCTCTAATTTATTCCAAGTGTTGTGAATGTTCCAAGTATGGACAACCACCTTCAAGCATGTTGTAAAGAGATTGAACCTGTTTATTCTACTTCCTTAAGAGGAGAACGTTTTGCACACGGACCCCTCAGTGGTGGGAGTGGGAGGGGTTGGGGGACCCCTTTGCCCCGCCCTCACTGTTCAAGTTCCAGTTCGGTTCCGCTTCCTGGACACATTCTACCTCAGCCCCCCTTTGACTGAATGGCGCCTCTTTTTCTACTGCCTCTACTAAACGGGACCAAAACACATTCTTGAGAAACCTTGCTTCTCTTCTTCCCACTCCACTACGGCAGCAAAGAGGTGGTAAATTTCCAGGAAATTTTGCTGGCAATTTAAGGTGGGAAATTTGGAAACTTTTCATGGGAATTGAGGCAAGTGTATCAGAAAGAACTGGGAATTACGGAAACGCATGCAGTGGTCCTGGTGCCTTGAGATCACAGTTGAATTTATTCTGTGATCACGGTGATGACTCACCAGAGGGCAGTATAATTTGTACATCCAGACTTAAATGAAGAAAATTGTCACGAGTCGTTGCAAAGCATACAGCTCTGCGAGTACGAATGTGAGGGCATTACCGAACAGTGAACCCACGCGTATTCGCGGTTCAGCCTTCACACATTAAAAATAAATAAATAAATAACCTACCGTATTTATTTGCTCATATTCATCGTTTTTGTGCTCAGGCCAAAGCCATGCCTCAAAAATATATGTTGCTTTGGCGCCATCTGCTGGCACCTTGGTGCCAAGCGTTTTGAACTGCAGGGAGGAGCTTCATGCCATTTTGTGGCATAAATTACTCGTTTTTTAATTTTCGAAAGGCATGATGTCCATTTTCGTTGCAGGTTCATTCCCATGGAAAGTTTCCAACTTTGCAAAATTTTGCAAGCCTTCACACCACACAACCTTTCCTATTTCCTCCTTGCGTCTCTGCTGCTGGTTCTCAGTAGATGTGACCTCTCGTCAGGACTGACTTACAGATGCATCGCCATCCATTGGAGTAGAGCTGGAATCTTGATCAACTTCAGCAGTTCAGTTCAAAGTATCGAACACATAAACAGTATTATATAAAGTAACCAGTGGAATCGTTCATGATTTTACATGTATTATAATTTTGACGATGAGAGTTTACATACGGCAGTGTGCTAGTGGTTAGCTTGTCTGCCTTACAAGGCTGAATTTCTTGGTTATCCAGGACACTAAATTGTCCATATGTGTGAATGTGTTTCTTTTTGAATTTCAGTTTTGAATTGATTTACTGAAATAAATGAACTTTTCTATAATCTTGGAATTTATTGGAGATGCACCTGTATGTATTGATTTGCTGTGGCAGCTCAATCCAGGTTCAAGTCCTCAAATCACAACTTTCTGGCCTCGCATCCCTGTGGCGTGTTTCACTTTAAAATGTGCTTCCCTACTTTTCTATTGTGGCTGATTTTTATTTATTTGTTTTTGAAGCGCTCTTCACGCATGTTGTCAGAGTATCCCAAAATGTTGCCATTGCTTTGAAATTCCCCTGAGACGTCACAAGGACGCAAGTTCCTTGCTTTGTAGCATATGGAAAGCTGTTAGAGTGTTTAGTCCATATTCTTGAAATCCTGCTTCAAGTCCATGTACTAGTACCCTCACTGTCGGGCAATTTTGGCATACTAGTAGTGCAACCTCATTTTACTAGTAAGGCAAAACTACTGATGGGCATTTTGGTGCTACTAGTGGGATCCAGGAGGCTACTAGTTGGACCTAGTGCGACACAGTAGTTCGCTGTTAAGGTTTACTTGCATGCTAGCAGACCTAAAATGGCACTAGTAGTGGGAAAACCATGACCAGTGAAGGCAACACTATGCATCAGTTGATGACTGTGCACAACGAATACAATGTTAGATCTAAACAAGTAGGATTTCAGAATGTCACCAATAATTATCCAGCTTGAGCTAAAGTCAAGAACAAATAGGGCACACTAGTAGAATGACGGTATTACTAGTAACGTTTTCTTCCCACTACTGTATGACATTACTGTAGAATACTTGGGCGACTTTGGCATACTAGGACAACAACTACATGTTGTTTGTTAGGCAAAACAGTACACTAGTGGACAACTGTGTGTCACTAGTACTATTAGTGAAAATTCTACTAGTTAACATTTTGTACTGTAGTAGTAGTAGTCGTAATGAGGTTAGTAGGTTGTACCTTTGGCTGTCCACAATGTTAGGCTACTTGACAATGAGCAGTTTTAGCGTATTAAGCATACTAGTAGGATACCTTCATGTTACGACTAGCTGTCATTTTGGTGTCGCTAGTACAGTCCAGGAGGTTACTTACTACTTTGTGACACATGCCTACTAGTTGAGCCGTGAAGCATTACTAGTATAATTACTCGTTACTGCTAAGGCGAGTTAGCCAAAGTGCCACTGGTAGTGGAAAAAAAAAACATTACTAGTACTACTACAATCTTTTTTTCAACTATTGAATTGTAGTGTACTAGTATGTGGCATTACTAGTGGATACTAATGAGACTCAAAAGGGTCTCTGAACTCTCTTACAAGTGAGGTCGACTGTGCCGTAGTAGTTGGACAACGATGTGAGACAAAACTTCTCATGAGCATTTTGTTACCAGCTGTTGGGTCGAGGAGGCTACTAGTGCAAGACACATGCCCTTGTAGTGTTACTCGTAAAGCACAATAGTTTACCTGAAAGGTTTAGTTGTGTACTAGCAGGTCAAAAGTGGTACTAGCAGTGGAAAAAAATTTACAGCTAAGGCAGTCTTTCTACTCATGCCTTAACTGCGTTACTAGTGATGAAAAAGAGCATACTAGTACCGTACTTGCAAATAGTATGTTCTTTGTCTTGACTTGTAAGACAACTTTTGTATACTAGTAGGACAACGTCATACCAACGGTAAGAGGGATATTAACCCTTTCATGCACCAATAGTGATAACCTGATAAGCTGTCCACTGTAGTAACCTCTGTCCCTGAAAGGGTTAAAGATACGGACTAAACGTTGAAACGGCTTTCCATACGTTTCACATCTTTGAAGCTCATCCTGGAATATATTGTGAATCATTATGTTCTTGTTTGTTTGATTTTTGTATTGTCTGGTATTGTTTACATTTTCATTTGATATATATATATATTTTTTTTTTTTTTTTTGGGGGGGGGGCTCTTTTTGTTGCTCACCTCCAGTTTCCACATTCACACATGATGTGATGACCAATGAGCAGAGATGACAAGTGGTTGTGTTTAAGTCACTCCTAGGAGGGGAAAAAAAACCTGAAAAATAGACCATGGGATGAGAATAAAGTCAGATAACACTGCAAGAAAAACAAAACGAAATAAAACACTTGTCATGTTGTGAAAATGTTTTGTTGGTAAAATGTCGAGGGGGATCCAGCTGAATGTTACGACTGACAACAGAATTCCAAGTACAAATCGTGTCGTTTGGAGCAGTGCTTCTCAAACTTTCTTCAGCCTGTTTTACCCTTTAAATGCATATTTCATATGATTATTATGATTATATTAACGACATTATGCACAGTTGAAACATGAAGACTGCAATTAATTACAATTATAGGGGGAAAAAAAATCAAATAAAAACAACTTGAAAAGCAATCCAACTGCACATACCGCAATGCAGGGGTGTCCAAACTCGGTCCTCAAGGGCCGCTGTCCTGCCTGTTCTCCCCCAGCGGCAACACACCTGATTAGAATACTAGAAAAGTATTTCTGGTACATTTCCAAATTTTTCACGTGGCAGCGGTTCCATCCTTCAGGAGTGCATCAAACATCTTATGCAACTTTTATGTTCTGATGAATTTTATATCAGTTCACCTCTCACTCAAACTATGCAGAGTGCACTTTTTTGTTCATTTGTTTGAAGCAGCAGACTTTAGCGGAAACTTCTCAGGAGATTTCACTCAGCGAGTGGACATCATTCAGATTTTTTTTTTTGGTCTCTTTTGGCCAGCACAGGAAATCAACAGGGTGTTTTTGTCACAGTTGTGACCCTGCACTGGGCAGGTTGACTTCAGCTCATTCTTTGACCCCCCTGAATTTTACCCCCTAATCAGTGGAATGTGATTGCAAAGGATGAAAAGCCGTTTGGAGCGTTTATCCGCCCCCATGTTCCGAACTCTAAGAATATGTCTTTGTACACAAACGGCCTATTTCTCTCAGAAATCCAAATCTGTTAGTGAGCACCTTTCGTGTCAAAACTGCAATCTCTTTATTTATACCTGCTTGATCCCCCCCCCAATACATTCTCATAATTTTTATCACATGAAAAAAAAAATACAATGAATATGGCCTTTGCGTTGATTTATCTATCAGGATTTTCTGTCTCCAGCATCTGTGTTTACAGGTTATTGGGCAAACCGGTTTCAGCGGCTTGGCAGCATGTACAGTACAGATGGAACCTGGTCGCCAATGTGCAAATAAACTGGTTTTACGATGAGCGTTCTCATGTTTTATTCTTTGTCATGAGCGCAAGGCGGTAGCGCAGAGGGCTATTGGTAGCCGCGTGAGCCTTAGTTATTCGTGAGGCGGGCCCCTCAAGGGGGCAGGGGGGGGGGGGGGGGGGGGGCTAGGGATCCTGTGACCTGAGGAACATTTTTTTTTTTTGCCATACAAAAACAAAGTTTAATTTGCTCATCCACTACAGTAGATGGCAGCATTGCTCTAACTTATTCATTTGATTTCAGGCAAATTGACGCACTTCAAATGTTTTCTGCGACACACATTTTAATAAAGTGGTTCTTCATTGTTTTCTTTCATGTTAAGGATACAATGCTATGCAGAGGTGTACTCACAAATAAAATGTTTTCTTCTTCCTTGGGGGTGGAGGGGGCGTAAATGCCTCTAATTCATATTGTTGTGTGTTAAGGGGAAAAAAATGAAGTTATTGTATTTATTCTGAATATTTTTTAATTAATCGGACAATTAGTGGAATTTTATTCTGCCAAATATAAGTATTGGCATAGGCCTTAAAAAAAATCCATAACAGTCTATTTTTTACCGATGATCTATTCATTGGAGAAAATTGAATAATAAAACAGCAAAACATACATGTGAGGTCTGGGTGTTATCGCAGTCCAAGTTCAACACGACAATGTGACTGGTTGAGGTTGCTGGAATATCTCGGCGAAGGGGAAGTGCTCACCAACATAGATTTGTAAACAATATGCGAGAAATGGGCCTTTTGTGTACATGGAAACATTTCACAACCAATACAACAGACAAATAGCACACAATTTTGATAATAGTTTAGATTTATATTTGTGTATATATATGTATATATGTATATATATTATATTGTGTCGTCTTAACATGTTGAATGCAACATCTCCAAGTTAGCTGTAACAATAAAAATACAATATCTTTGTGTCCTTAAAGTACATAAAATTCAAACAGCCAAACAAAAATAAAGAACAAAAAAAAAAAAAAAACGGCCTAAGTAGTTCACAGAGGTACAAATATACAGTACAAATCTAATTTATCCAATAAAAGGGTACAAATAATAATAATTAAAAAAAAGAAACAAGAAAATAGAAATATTAATGCTTTGTTAAATTCAGGTAGGTGTAGGGTAGTTCTAAGGGTGCACTTTGGGTGGACAACTCTATAAGGCTTTTGATAAACGATCAATACATATCGGTACAACCATACGATAGTAAAAGTCATTATACAAAGTTCAGACGACCTGGATTATACTTGAGGATTGAATGTTACATTTACATCTTTGCATATGTTTTGCAGATTTAGGCATTTGGGGAGGAGAAAAAAAAAATAAAAAATACATTTGTTTTGTTTTTTTTCTTACGCAGTTACACATCACAACTTCACATACAAAGCAGTGTCATTTTTTGCCCCCAAAATAAGAAAAACAAAATCGGGGAAAAATACATCTTTAAAACTAGAAACTGTTCTGTTTTTTTGTTTGTTTCCTCAAAATTCATCTCTGGGAAGTCCACCACCACTCACAGACACACACACACACACACACAAACACACACATGTATTGTACAAAGCGGGAGTTAAGGCATCAAACAATTGCGGTCAAAGCTCGTGTATGACAACGGCACACAACTCGGGCAAGTGATTGAGCATTTATTCCATGTTCACCTTAAGGTCCATGTACGACTGCGCTCTTTGTCCTCACTAATAAGACAACTCGGCACACTGGGAGCAGACCAAATAAAGGCCGAAACTTCAAGATTGTACTCGCGTGCTAGAGAGTAGGAACGTTATAAAACGCATATATAAATTGTGTGTGTTGTCAAGCGATTAAAATTTTTTCAACAAATTAGTCGCACAATTTTCCACAGCGGCAATGAATCCCATTTTTTTTTTTTTTTTACAAAGTATGTAACAGATATTTACTTGAGTAATATCTTGGAAATAATGTCAAATTATCAAAAAGAAAGCAGATTTAGATTCAAAGACGATTCGAATAGCTTATTTTGACCTTTATACATCTTTATATAGCGCTTTCAGAACAGCTGCAGCGGTAACAAAGCGCTTTACAGAACACCGAACAAAAAATAGCAAGAATATAAATCTTCAAATACAATTCTCCGAACATTTAGCGCTTGACTAGTAGCATGTAGATGTCAACTGGTGTGCAGTTTTTCTTCCCGAGTACCTTGGACTTGTCTGACTTGTATTCCAAAGTTCTACTAGTGAGGACAAATAGCATTCTAGTACATAGACCTCAGGATCTCGAATAGATGCGCAAAGGACTTTTGGCCCTGCGATTCTTCAAACGACAGCGACAACACTGCCAAGAAGGGGATATTTAGTGCAAGTACTCACAGCAACACACCGTCAGCCATGTCAACACAAGTAAAAAAAAAAAAAAAAAAGGCTGGCGTGGCACAACAACAACATAACAGAGCGCCCCCGGTGGCCAAAAGGTAAAGATAGAGGCGGCAAAGCTCGCGCCCTGAAATGGGATGAATACCTTGTGATTGTTGACACTAAATCAGGGGTGGGGAAACGTTTTCCGAACGGGCCTATGTTTGGTTTTTCCAAAGTCTTGCAAAAATCACAATTTCATAAACCTGTTTGCATAATGGCCTTAAATCATATTGAGCTTACTCTATATATTGATTCCAAAATTATTTTGTGACAACAATGCATAGATGGCAGAAACAATGTATCCGTTTCTCCATTTATACAGCCGTCATTCACATAACAGAATAGATTTGTTTTCAGCTAAGCAGGCCCATTTCACACAGTAAGTAAACGAAGACGACATCACCATAATTTTAGTATACTCTACTCACAAAAAGTTAATTAAAGTTAACACACTTGAAAAGTGAACTTAATTGGACCTCGAAACTAGTGGCAGACTCTGGCATGTGCGATATATGTGGCAGCGCAGGGTGATATTTCTGCTGCCCACCAAATAAAAAAACCTGGCATTAAAAATTATTTTCTATTGACATATAAATCATTGGCGTTCGTATGGGGACTTTGCGCGCCCCCTCTGTCAAAGAAAATTTCAGATGAAACAGTGATTTCCAACCAGTGTGCCGTGAGAGCTCTAACGGTGTGCTGCGGGAACTTATCAAATGTTACTTCATTGGTGATACAATTTATTTATTGATAAAAATTAAATGTATCTTTGTCCTATCGATGCCAGCAACTTTGATGGCAAAAAGTATGAAATTGACTTATGACTTATGTATCCTCTTTTTGTGACAATTCTGTTTGGTGGTGTGCTGTGCGATTTGTCGAACTTAAAATATGTGCCTTGGTTCAATAAAGGTTGGGAATCACTGCTCAAGGTGTCTTGATGTCCAATTATAATGGAACCAGGTAATGTATCGATCCATTCATGGATCAAAAACCTGTTAGAGATTTTTGTCATTGAGCTTCTGAAACATTTCCAACAATTGTTGGATATGTACATTCAAAGTTTTGGAGGTCATATTAAGGTCACCTCTAAAGGTTTTAGTGCACTGTAATTGCCCCCCCCCCCAGCCCGACATCTTTAAGTTTCTGTGAGTTGAGTATACTTGTGAGTTTTGTTTTTGATGGTGTACTGTGAGAACTTTCTCAGAAAATGTGCTATGCTTGAATAAAGGTTGGGAACACTATTACTATATATTACGAACATATGCGGGTTAAAACATTTTTTTTGGCCTCTTCTGAAGAGTTCCTCTGAGGTTTTATTTGTTTTCAGAATTGCATGGCAAGCGAGAGCACGTATTCTAGTGCAGGTTGGTTGCCCAGCTGCTGCTTAACATCCACAATGACAAGCGGAGAGAAGAACGGCAGAGCAAACTAGCAATCGGCTGAGCGGTCCTGCTGTGTTTACTGCATAGAAGACGGCGTGTGTAAGTAAAAAAAAAAAAAAAAAGGCAGCCGTATTGCAAATAGCATCAAAATCACTCATACAGGGCGTCCCTGAAGTCGGGACATATAACTGACAGCAATGTTGAGTTATTGCATTGAGTTTACCTGAATTTTGCAAAAGGCATCAACAATTTGCCTAACAAATGTTGGAAATTATATAAAAGACGTTAATACGGTGTTTCCCCCTACTATTTGAGTACTTGGTGAATTGCCCATATATGCAACAAGACGATGGCTCAGCACTACTTTTGGCACACCACACTCAGTGGTGGAGGGGTCGTCTCCCAACCCAGAGGTTCAGGATTCAATCCCTGGCCATTGCCACCTTGTCTAAGTGTCCTTGAGCAAGACACTGAACCCCCAGTTGCTCTTTATGTTGCGTCATCAGTAAGTAAATAAGGAAACCGTGTAAGGCGCTTTGTACTGTAAGTGACAGCCCATTTACCAGTTCCTTGATCCCAAAATGGTGCCAAAGCACGACATTTTTCTATTAGATAGGGATATGTCATAACTAAAGGAAACGCCTACCATCGCTTCAACATAGTTCCTTGGCACAAAGATACCACCAAAGCACCACTTTTTTGTTAGAGGGTAGGTTACTCCCATGAAAAAAAATGTGAATATGTGGGCAACACTGTATTCTAATTCAATGGAATGTTGGAAATGTAACTTAAAATATTAAAGTGTCCTGACTTAAGAGACACCCTGTAGATTACTTTTTTTTAGATGAGGCCAGAGGCCAGACATTTTAACTTAAATATTTGCTGCTCAACACAAAGCGAAACAGCCAGTTGGAAGTCGTACTTTTTTAGTCGGAATGTCTCTGCGTGTATGATGTGCTGCCTAATTACTAAAACCTTTGCATGTTTCCGTGTCTTCTAATTGCACTTACATCTTCAGTGAGCAGGAGGAAACTGCAGCATTCATCTTGGCTAATTTGTAAACAGATTTTTTTTTTGAACGCATGTCAGTTTTCCAAGCATATTCCCTTCGCGTGCTGTGAGACAAAAGTTTGGTGACTAATTAACCACGGACAAACAGAGGAAAATACAAAAATGTGATCAAACATCAGCGAGATGGGGAATCAACAAGCTTAGAAAATGGAGGATGGAAATAGTGCATCAATATTTAAGTTGGGGTGAGACAAGGTGGGCTTTTTTTGGAAAAATATCTGATGAGGATGGCCCCGCTGCGGGCTCTATTGCTTAAATTTTGGTAAATGCGCAGACTCGAGACAAAGGCAAACGTGATTCTCTGGGTCATTCCCCAAGGTCACAGTCTGCTGTTTAAGGAGGTCTCTGTGGTTCATCGAGGAGATGAGTAGGTAGGGTGGACTCGCTGACGATACTGGAATGAATAAAGCACGGATTCCAGTTTGTTGTACTTAAGCACACATAGACAGACATAAACACACGGAGGTGTTAGTGGACAAAAAGAGGGCGTGATTGATTCTTCACAAGTTGGATTGTAAGACGAGCGACGGAACGCGCTGTGCTTCGTGTGTCAGCGTCGCGCAACAGACGCCGGCCGTCAGGAATGGATTCAAGATTAGAGGGCTCCAAACGCAAGCTGGAGTCGTCCAAGTGCATTCCAATCAGGAAGCCGGGGCGTTCCCAAAAGAGGTGGTGACCTCCAGTGAGGAAGTGGTGACAGAGGGAGGAGAAATGCAGTGTACGAGGACTATTCCTGGAAACTACAAACTTCTCCCTTAGGGCGAGTGACGTGGAGCCAGAACAAGATACAGATATAGATATTTTTTTCAGTTGGATGTGCAAAGAATCTTCAACATTCTCAGGCTACATTCTCACTCTTTTCTCCATCCGCAAAAGGTCTCCTCCACAGCTGTTACTAGGGCTGAACGATTTTGGAATACAATCTAATTGCAATTCCAAAGTATTGTGGTTGCAATTTAACATGAGATTAGTTTTTCAAGGTCCTTATCTCGTGTATTTAAAATGATAACCCAATGATTGGGGGCAAATTCAATTGTTTATACTGCAGAACTTTACCCGTGAATATTTTTTTGCTCAGATTTTCATGGCAATTTTTGTTAACCCTCAACCTTCATTTTTTTCCAATGTAATGAAACTTGAATTGTTTTTGTTAGTGCTGTGTTTCGTGTATGTTGATGTTACTTCTGGGCAAAATGTGTTCCTTCTATAAAAAGGTGGTAGATAAAATTGTGGTAATATAGATGTACTTTCATGTGCTTTTAATTTTTGGACAGGTAAAGTTCTGTCATAAAAAACTGTTTAAAAATCTCTCCCAGGTAATGTGTGTTTATTATTTCTGTTTACCAATTGCGACTAGATAGTCGATCAGTTCCGTTTTTGTGCATGTGAAGGATTAAGAAATTGCTTTTTCCAGTCATTGTGCTTCTTAGATGGGTTGAAAAAATAAACTGTTAATCGGTGAGCAGTTTTTGCCAAATTGTATATGCAAAATGGCATTGGGTGTCTGTGATAACTGATCACTCTAATTGACTGTTAGCTAGCCAATCGGAAAGGGGAATTAAGAAAAGCAAACAGCAAAAAGCATTATCTAGTAAATAAATCTGAGCTAAATATTGCTATTGACATAGATTTGTTCCATCTTGTAGAATGAGTATGTTGGGCAAGGTTGCAGTGTGTGCAGTTCATTCCACGAAACCATGACTGTGGATGGTAAGTTAGAAACAATGTTGTAGAATGCGACTGTAATGCATTCTAAATCAGTGTGATGTCGGTTTAATTTCGATTAATCGTTCAGCCCTAATTTCCACAGACCGGCGTTGCTACTTCCCTGCATTGGAGCGTCCTTCGATGGACAGTTTGACCTCTTGGGGGATAAAGGAGGGCCGGATGTGTCCAGAGGTGCTGATCTGTGGACAGGCGCCATGCTCTCCCTTCATACTGTATCTTTGGAGGCCAGGTGAGGACCAGCGCCTCTGAGAAGCACCCAGCACGGCCCCCATGGCGGCACCCGCCAAGGCAGAGGCATCCGTGTGCAACTGGTAGCCGCTCTGACTCCTGGGGTGCTCGCCCGAGGTCCGACTCGGTCTGACGTGGGGCTCGGGGTGGTGTGTGGCTTCTTCCTTGTCCGCCGTGTCTTTCTCTGCTTCCCTCTGCCTGTCTCTGTGCATGCGCTCTGTCCTGAAATGAGTCTGAGGACGCGAGTGCTGCGGGGCGGGCGGCCCCATGAGCTGCTGAACGGGTTCAGACGCAGAAGCGCTTTTGCTCAAAGTCCTAGCCACATTCTGCTGTTGGGGGTGATGGTGTTGCACGGCGGCTTTTTGCTGCAGTGTGATGGACACGCACACATCCCCAACTTGCATCTGATGGCAGGCCAGGCCGTAAAGCTGTGCTGTGCGGTCCGGGCTGTAGGATGACCAGCCTTGGCCAAACACGAAAAAAGGGTGCTCCGGGGGTACATCAATGGTCACTTTGCTCTGCTGCTCCCCCACAGTAAAGTGCAGCGTCACGAGATCGGGCCTCTGCTGGCTGGCGCGAATGTCCACCACCATGCTTGAGTCGATTTTCAGACCCCCACTAAGCTCGGCGCTGCGCACAAAGTCCTGAGTCTGCAGGTCCTCCACGCGCTTCAGCTCCCCAGTGGCCAGCTGGATAATGGCGCCCTTCATGAAGTGTGACGGGTTGGCAGTGGCTGGTCCGGGGACAGTGCTTGGAGCTAAGACCTGGGTCACCTCAGCGGGGGGCTGCTGCTGAGGTATGACCGGCTCACCCACGGCCCTCTCCGGGAGGCACGCCCGGCCTGAAAGATCTGAGGCTTTAAGGGAGGACTTAGGAGAGCTGTCATTGGCCTGTTGCTGAGGTTGTGGGTGATACTCCACAGGGACGCGCATCGGCTGCCCATTGGCTAGCATGACAGCGTGGGACGGCGGACCTGCATGTTGTTTTTGCTGCTGCTGCAGTCCACTCACTCTGGGCTCACCGTAGCTTACAGGTTGGACCAGGTACCCGGACTGGCCAGAAGCGAGAGCCGGGTTTTCTCCGTGGACATCTCTGGCTCGCTGCATACTCTGCGACAGATTCATGGGGGCAAAGGAGACCTCTTTACGCCCTCCGCTGACATCTTGGTTGGAGGACGAGGAGGAGGAGGAGGTCAAACTGCCAACCACCTGCTGCACCTGGAACAACATTGAAAAAAAATACATCAATAATTAAAACGTATTCAACTTGTACAGCACGAAAGGTGAGACCATTTAGAAGCAACATTCTTGAGAACAAATATGCCCCAAAAGTAGAATAGAGTATTCAACCATTTATCCTGTCGATGAATTGAGTAATCTAATACAAAATTATTTTGCATTATTAAGCACAATAACAGAAGCAGGTGAGGTGCGGGTATATTTATGTCATCGGACAGCGGTTGGTAGAGGAGGTCATTGGTTAAAATCCCGGCTTTCACTGCCTGCTGTCAAAGTGTCCTTGGAAAAGACATTGAAGCTAAATTGCCTCTGTCTATATTGTAAATGAAAAAAAACAGTTTTCAATTACCCTCCTGGTTTCACAAAGAATAAATGTCCATTTGGCATCCTCATATTAGATCTACTCTCATATCTGTTACTGACTGTGTAAGGCTTTTATAGGTAGTGTCTGGCCTGGTGAGTGACGTGGGCGTCAACAAATCCCCATGGAGAGTTGGCTGACTGTTAAACTATTTTACCCTAGCCCAGAGAGATATATCAATGTGTTAGCCCATCTGCATGCTGAGAGACTGGGGTTGATTTGTGGCCATCAACAGCTCATCTGTGCCAATCGACGCAGCTTATTATGTGTTCAACAAAGCCATTAAAAGTGTAAAGGCGGCTCTGTCTATCATTGACTGATTCGATGGCAGATTATACAAAAACACCTAACATCAATGTGTTACCTTGTGTTGGGAATCATAGAGTTGTTCCTGTGGTGCATATTATACATCATCTTCCTTGTAAAGTGTGATATTATCTCAAACTTTGGGGATTATCTGTCTTTTACTGAATCTTTGCTCCTGGTTTGCCACCAACGTACCAATCTATTCCTTCACAGAAGGGTGCATGTGATTGCATTAGCACTTCCTCTATGTGGAAAAATTATCTGTGCAAAGCTTCCGGGTAGGGATTTTGCTTCAACCTTTTGGGCTAACAAATTACTCTGCATGCCTATTAGTTTCATTGGAGACTGAAGTCCAGGGTGTACTCACTCAAACACAGCTAGGACATGCTATCCCCCCCTTCAACCCTAATGAGGACAAGCGTCACAGAAAGTGAATGGATGCATTTCATGTAGAAGTTAAAATAATGACGAATAAAGGATTACTGTATCTGAACAAAAAAGTTGAGAATGAAGTCTGTGTCATAATGGATGCCTGTTTTAGATGACTCACCTCGAGGTCACTGTCTGGAGTGCTGCGATGGCCGGGTGAGCTCAGCTTGCGTTTCTGGTTGGTCTCGTGCGCTCCGGGTAGGGCGGCTACTTGCTGTACTCGCGTGTTCCTGATGGGGTAGAGCGAGTCCAACGCAAGCTCCCTGCCCCCGCGGTCCTTATCCCCTCCATTTATCTCTGGCTCCTTTTCCTGATGCACACTGTGGGTGTCCCTGGAGGCGGCGGCGGCTCTGGCAGCACCCTGAGGATGGTAGAAGACCGGCATGCCCCGCGAGCTGAGCTCTGCGCCGGACAAGACACTGACAGCGCCGAGTTGCTGCTGGGCGGCCTGCTCTGTCGGCAGCATCAGCGGGACGCTGCCGGATGCAGAAACTTTGGCAAAGGTATGAGTGGCTACCTGAGCCTGAGGAGGTGGGGAGACCACACCTTCTTGTATGACAGGCTGGTAAGGGACAAGGTGCGACACGGCATGGGCCTGAGAGATGGTCGCTGAAGGTGAAATTAACGAACCGGGGACAAAGCCGGGGGGCAAAGCGTACGGTACCGCCGCATACGGGGAGCTGACGAACTGTAGGGAGGAATGAGGGAGCTGCGTGTAGCCCAGAGGAGGATACGGAAGGCCCGGATGCTGCAGGAGGGGCGAGTGAACAGTGTAGGCTGGAGAGATGTGGCTTAACACTGTGTGAGGACTGGTGGGCGAATATGTAACAGACGGTAGAGCCACTTTATAAAGCATACTGTATTGGTCTACTGGCACTGCTGATATGCCCTCAGAAGTGTCCACGCCGTAGTGAAGTCCTGGCTGAGCTCGCAGCCACTCCCCGGACGGAGGACCTCCCTGAGAGTCACTGTTGGCTGCACAGTTCGAGATGGAGCCCACTTCATCCTCTGCAACAGCGCTTCCTCCACCGCTGGCACCCACACCTCCTCCTCCTCTTTCAATGGTAGACGCCACTCCTGGTATCCCTGCAGTGCCGCCACAGTTACGAACAGGGAGGTCCCTCTTCTTAGGTGGCAGACACTCCTGGTTGCGTTCCTGAGCTGGTTTCATCGCGACGTTGAGTCCGACAAAGTAAATTCACTGAACGCCGCAGGGGCAGACACTCGCAAGCCAGTCGGGCCACGCAGGCACCAGCTCTGAAATCCCCGGGCTGACTTCCGCTGGCAATTCTCCTGAGAACAAAACAAAGCACATATGAGCGGGAGAACAAAATCATGTCTTCTCTGGGGGTACATTTACAAAATGGCTGTCTCAGATGACTTTATTCATACATGGCAATGGCGAGTGATGAAAAAATCGGAAGGGGCGTGGCCTGGACGAGGGCGTGGCCTGGACGGGGGCGTGGTTACTTACAAAAGTGGCACTAAACACTCTGAAGATGAAGTGTATTAAATTTACACAGTTTGAAAATTGAACAAAAAAAAATCCCAAGATTTTCAAGTGAAAATTTGTGCAATTTTGCCTATGCATTCCTGGTGAGCACCAAGATGTAACTCCAAATTTGTTGCTCAAAATCAAAACTAAAAAAGTAAACACATTCCCTGCCATATTTAAGATTTGTTCATGACTTGTATTCATAAAGTGTTGTGTAAATGTGATAAAAAGCTGTTGATTTTTACCTCATACAGTGATAGTGAATATTTATTATGCATACAATTTATTATGCCTAACCGTGCTTTATTATCCAAGACAAAACGTGAATTATCAATATGAATATAAAACGCAACTCAAAACAAATAAATGTTATCATGCTGTTGCTACAAATGCATACCAAATAAAATTGAAACTATCATCCTCGTATATTTGAATAAAAAAGTATGTACCTCGGAGTGTACCTGTCTATCGGCGAGGGGCGTCAGTGGAGCAGATTTCGTTGCTTGGTTCAGCCAAAGTACCCCAGCGCGTAACGTCTTTAGTTGTATCCGCTGACTAAGTTTGTTTGAAAAATGCCGATCCCAAAGAATAATTGCTCCGTCGAATGGCGATTTTGTCGGCATGTTTTTTCACTTTTGTTGCATGATCTGTCAGTGCCATGCATCCACGGGAGCCATAGTTAATTAAGTCACTCCAATACACACAATAAGCGCTACGTCTGGTTTCTTCAAAAATTGTCCAAGAGCTTCTGTAACTTCGTCGAACTTGGAACCAATTTTAACCTTTACAGTGACTTTTCTGTCAAGCCAGTCCAATCGGAATTTATTCTTGACATTTGAGTCAATTTCTAGGATTAAAGACTCCTGATCTTTCGTCAAAAATTTCATAATTCCGCTCAAAACGATCCCAGAACAATGAATTTGCGAGACGAACAGGCCGCCATGAATCAGGTAAAACAATATGTTACATGCAATTTGATTGGTCCAATCGCTTGTAGTTAACCAATCGCTGGGCCGTTTATAATCGAGCTAAGACTTCCGCAACAAATAATGCCTTCAGTGATCTGATTAGTTGAAGCTTTCATACACGTCCAATCGCAGGGCTGTTTACAAACGGAAAACGGAGAGACTGTTCGGGAGAGCTCGTGAAAACTCGACGATAAGGTACCTGACCGTCCCTAAAATTTTCTCAACGGATTTAGACGATTCACAAAAATGATCAATTTAAGAAATAAAACGGCGGATTTCCGCGGATCCGCGGAAAATTGCCATGTATGTTTATTTAATTTGGGGTTTGGAATGAATCATACATGGTCAGTAAAAGATGATGCTGTCACAATGATGTCACTGTTGGAGTGCTGGCACAGCTGTTTATCCTCAAAGACAAAGACAACAATTCTGCACCAGATCTGAACTGCAGCCACTTACTCTCCTTTTCATCACTCTGTTATTGATATGATAATCAGGACATATAGGAAGGATGTAATAACTATTTATGCTAGCAACTGACTTGAGAAAAAAGGTACAACTGAAGTCATCATTTGTCTTGTTGAAAAAAATCCATCAGCTTATTAGGTTAAAAGTCCTATTTTAGAATGCTGCAGTTGTTTTGGTGAAAGTAAAGCATCACAATTCAGAGGCTGTAATATTGCATTTGGACTGCTGAATGCTACACAATCATTTTTACGAACAATATTGCTCTCTATCACATGCAATAATGAGCATGTCTTGACTGCAAATTTCCCCAGTGTGGGACAAATAAAAGTTATCTTATCTTATGTACTGTAACAGCTGTGTAACTGACCAGGTACACTAGCTTGTCGTACCTCTATTAGTACTTTGACTTAGAATTCCACAGATGAACAACATTATGTTCACCGTTCACATTTTGCTCTCTTCAGAAGGATCACACAAAATCGATTATCTCGTCTTATCATCAACAACATTTGGTATTTAACTTTGAATCCATCACGAGTGCACCCGCAGTCACAAATGTCTTCATTTTTTAGCACAAAATAAATTTCAGGCCCAAATAAAGAAAGTTTAAAGTAAAAACGGATGGATGGATAAACAAATGGTTATTATTACACAATGTGAGCATTAGTGTGTTTTATCATAATGTTTCTGGTGCTTTGTTTGTGTTTAGAATGACATTGGTACGACTAATGACGTAAAAAAAAAAAAAAAAAAAAAAAAACTACCAGTTAACATTGAGTCATGCACGTCGTTACCAGAAGCGCAAATGTTGTGCAGATCTGAACTAATGCAAGTGTTGGCTCACTAACAACAACAACAACAAGTTGTCCTACTAATGAGGACAGCAGTACAGTGGAATTTAAGATGGATATCAAGGATAACGAACAAATGCTCAAACAGCTTTCTGGCTTCAAGTTTAAGCATTTATAGAATATCCGACTGGGGTGCTGAATAATGAATTAAAAACAACTACCGGTACTAATAAATGCACAAATGGCTTTGTTCTGAATTCTATTAGTGGATATGTGACACATCTTGCACTTCCCTGGTAGTACAAGTAGCATTCAGACATCAACTAGTGCAGTTTTGCCTCAGTTGTTACATGCAACTGTCCTACTCATGAAGACAAAGAGCATACTAGTACATAGACGTTAAGTGGGATTTCAAGGATATCAAATCAATGTTTCAACGGCTTTCAAAATAGCTGCTTTAGAATTTAGATTTCTGCACACAAAATTACTAGTAAGCACTTTGCTCGGGTCCAGCAGGTTACTAGTGTGTGACACCTACCAACTAGCTGGGCCTAGGAGTTACAAGTACAGCTCAATTGTTTACAAGTAAGGTTTAATTACATTTGAGTTGGTCAAAAGTAGCAGGAGTAGTGAGGAAAATGTTTATACACATAGACATTTGTTCTTGTAGGTGCACTGTCTTATGTGGATATCAAGCATAGTGACAAAATGCTCATGGCCTTTCCATATTTTTACAATCACGTGGCTGTAAGGTTCCTCAACATCTCCTATATAGAGCTATAAACCGAAAGAAAAATTAATGCTTTAAAGATACTCAGATGATTTCCATGAGTTTCGTTTTTTTAATCACATCATAAATTCAATATCACATCACTGCTCAAAGCCTTTCCGTTCATGTGACCACGTCCCATAACATGACGGATTTCCAAGTACACTTCGAAAACAACAATGACATATTCCAGCTATGTTAAGCAGAGCCGCATCGTTTTAAACGAGGATGTCATCATGTACAAACTAGCAGCGTATTCGTGGGAAGGGCACAAGTTAATCGTGAGTTTGGTCAGTTATCTGTGTGAGGAATAATGTTCCAACGATACCATCGATGGGCTTCCTGGTTCTCACTGGGAACACTCAGTGAGCCCAAAAGTCACTCGAACTCCGTTACACAGCACAGGCACTGTTCACCGTTAACTACTAGTGGGTGCGTTTAACGAGCACTTAATATAACGAAAATCACACGTTACATTGCATCCTTTCAAGCGTTTAGTGCGATTAAGCGTTTTGGTGTTTAAAAAGTGGAGTTCGTAGGCCTATTATTCATTATTCGTGTCGCGTTCCACTGGTTCCGGCTAGTTAGCTGCTCGGCTAAGGCTGTTAGCTCACTCAATTCCACTCCTGCTCGATTCCTATCGCTTCACAAATGCCGCGGCAACTCGCACTGTGTTCTTGTTGGGAACGGCGACGTAGGGGAGTAAAGCAGACTTACCTCCAATTGTCATCGCGGAAGGACTTTGCTGAGGGTTGGAAATAAGGAGAGAGGATGAGCGATGTGTGACAAAAATCAAGGCTCAGAAGTCGAGCCCATCTCGAAGGCCAGCGGAGGCGCTCACAGATGACGTCATCAGGATGATGCTATCGCCTTACAAGTGACTCATGTTTTTGTGTCTTAGTACATTTAGATGCCCCGTTGCACTTTTATAGTTCAAACTAACAGTTCAGTCAGAAATCGACAACGTTATTTAGGTTGACTCACATGACATCACGTTTTCCATTCGTAGTTTAAATTGTTATCAGCTTGTGGTTGCTGTAATGAGGGACTCGTGGTATTCGCGGGGATCGTGACTGGATTGGCTCGCAAATAGCGAAATACCGCGAACAATTGACACGCACTCAGTTGTATTGAAAAAAAAAAATTGAGGCGGTGTCAATTATCATTTAAGACAATAAGAGTTTTTCACGTAAAACGGTTACAAATTTTTTTCAATTGGCAAAAATAAATACTGTATACAGTATCCACAGTTGCCACACCCCGCGTGTTTGGGCGTCACACTAATTATCGCAGTCATTAGATTAGGTGAGAAAAAAATGTTTAAATGTGTAGCCTCTATTAAATACTTTATTTTTAACAATTAAAATGTAATATTTATAATGAACGTGGATATTTTATTAAATACAGCAGTGCTTATTGATGCAAATTCAATTTATTCTGTGACCACGCAGGTAACGCCATACATGTTTCTCAAGTCATGTTTCCTTCTTGAAATGAATGGAAGTGCCATTAATCTCTTCCAGCTCTGCCACCACCCAGAAAACATCGTGTTTTTAAGAAATATAGCACTCTATATTACTTTATAAAAACATACAGTAATGACACCATTAAATACAATGAAAAAGAATGAAACTAATTTCATGCACATTGTGCTGCTCATTCTGGTGTGTATACCTTGACTACCAGGGGCCTCAGTAAGCTGCATGTCATTCTTCATAGAAGATAAAGAATGTATCTCTGTTAGTATTATATTAGCCGTCATTTGGTGCAGCAGTGCCTATGTACCTTTATTCACTGCTGTTTTTAATACATGTTAATCTTGTGTTTTATGTTTATGAAGCTTCCTTGTGGAAGAAGTGTTCCCCATCTGCCAAAATAATGCAGCAAATTTTACAGGATGTCTTTCTTATGACTTTTCGGTTTCGAAGATTAAGATGCTGAGAGAAGCAGAGGGTGCTTTTTGGGAGGCATGACTGCCTTGTGACAAACCATCAGTGATGTGTTCCTCGAGCCGGTCCTTGGCCTCGAGGACCGGCTCGAGGACCGAAGGTCGGTCCTTGGTCCTTGGCCTTGGCCTTGGGAGTCAATTCCTTGGCCTTCCAATTCCTTGGCCTTGGCCTTGGCCTTGGGAGTCAAGTCCTTGGCCTTGGCCTTGGCCTCGGGTTGCCGGTCCTCGGACACAATGAGGGATTAGAGCCTCGAATCCCTTGTCCACAGGTATAAAGTGTGACCGAGGATCGCAAAAACCACGAAGGAATCAAATAAATTCCATCCAGTGAAACGCATATTGATGGATTAAGCTGGCGCTTTAAAAGGG